CCCCGCCACCTGAGCGCCAAACACCGACTCCATTTCCTAGCTTCGGGCTTCTCCCCTGCCTTCTATTTCAAAGCCTCATGTTTTCCCAGCCATCCCCCAGACCACGAGACTTTCTCATAGGAGACAGAAACCTCACTCCTTGAGCTCCCTTTTCCACTTTCAAGACCCAGCCCCATTTTCACTTTGGGAACCCCCGTTTGCTCTCTTTGACGGCCTTTTTCCAATCCTCCCCCCAGATGCTGTGGGGCAGACACCCCCAGGATTGCTGAAGTCAGTGCACAGCCCCCCTGCTGACAACTCTCTCAATATCTGGGGAAACAAATCAATCGCCAGATTTACTCTGGAAACCTAAAACCGTTTACAATCACTAATTTGCTCAGTCTCAACGCATCATCAGCAAACAACGTTCTGTCGCTGCTCTTTTGTGTGGTTGGAACGCGGGGGGGGGGCTTAGAATAATGAGGAAACTTTCTTTGTTTGGCAGCGTTCTTCTATTTGAGCTCTGTCGAGCTACCCTTGGCAGTCACAATAACCCTGTATTGAAGCCCAGAGGAAGGCTGGCGTTTGGAATGATCCTACGTTTGGTTCCTTCTTTTTCTAGGTATTTCATCCGGCCTTTGATGTGCTAAACGGCTACACTGGAGCAGGCCTTATGGAAGCTGTCTATCCCCTTTAGTCTTCTCTGACCTTCTTTATTGTGGCCGGGGGAGGGGCACCGAAGAAAGGATAGAGGGGGGCAAATAATTAAAACCAAGCCATGCCCACATCTGCAGCCCAGAGCTGTACTTTTCCCTCAGGAATTCTGTTCGCTTGCTCATCATTTACGCCCCCCCCCCCTTCCCAACACACAGGGGACTTGAGAGAATTGGCTTCTTACCTCAGAATTCTCAAAGTTTCTGGCACAAACTGTTTCTATACCTGCCCCCACCCACCCCATCTTCTTAAATCATTTAAAAGTTCTTGTGAGCTTAACAATCTCTAAATCAGCCCACTCATCCTCTCCCTCCCCCCAGATCTAAATTTACGGTTATCCGAAATGGCCCTCAGATCTTTTGTCAAAACTCTGCGATTTAATCAGCCCAGCCGGCTTGGCTCGGTGGTTGAGCGTTGACCCATTAACCAGGAGGTGACAGTTGGATTCTCTTGTCAGGGCGCTTGCCCAGTTATGGGCTTGATTCCCCAGTGGGGGGCGTGCAGGAGGCAGCTGATCAATGATTCTCTCTCATCACTGATGTTCTATCTCTCTCTCCCTCTCCCTTCCTCTCTGAAATCAATAAAAATGTATTTTATAAAGCTCTTCAATTTAATCAAAGGGAAACAAGCTCAAACTCAAGCCTGTACTTAGGATCTAATTACCTTAAACACACACACACACACACACCCGTATGGCCAAAACATTTTTACAAACCAACAAACTTGTGAAAAATATTTTTGTTTGCAATCAATATGACAAAATGTAGATCTCTTTTAAGAGCTCATTTTAATTGATAAGAAAATCCAGGAGATTCTAGTCAATAAATGGGCAACAATAGAAATAAGTAGTTCACAGAGAGGGGATAACAATGGTGAATAAGCATATGAGAAATGTTTAGTCTTGCTAGCAGTGAAAAATGGAGATACCACTGTCACTGACAACTTTCCCATAGGTGAGATAAAAGAAGAACAAGGATGATATACAATGCTAGCAAGAGAGTGGCGATAAACTTGTCACACTATTGGGGGGAGTAAAAATTAGTATAACCTTTTGTTAACTATGAAAATATTTTCTATCCATTAATTCCACTTCTAGAAAGCTATTGTTTGATCAAGTAACTCCACCTCAAGGAATCCACTCCAAGGAAATATTCAGAAATGCAAACAAAGATTTCGTTACCAAGATACTCACCAGAGAATCATTTTTAATATGAAAAAACTGGAAAGAACCTGAATGTTCAACTTTAAGAAATAGATAATTATTGGCTTGAATTGTGACAAAACCATAAAATGGTGTATGATACAGCCATCCAAATATTATTATGACATGGGAGAATTACTTTTTAATCTTAAAAGAGCAAAACAGGATACAAACTATATACAGTATAAACTCAGCTATGTAAAAATAATGCATAAAAGGAAGCCTGAAAGGAAACATGCTAAAATGCTAACTGTTGTGATTGCTAATTTCTTTATACTTTTCTATATTTTCCACAATGAGCATATGTTACTGTTAACTTCAGGGGGGAATAGTTTATTATTTCTTTTCTGAAAAACTGTAGAATGGTAATATATGTTCATTCTAACAAACTTAAACAATACGTATGTGTATAAAGTAAAGAATGAAACTCATCTCCCTCTCCCACTCCCCAATCTTTAAATCTGGCTCACACATTAGCAGTTTGGTTTATATTCCTGCAGACCTCTCTCTCTCTCTCTCTCTCTCTCTCTCTCTCTTTCTCTCTCTCTCTCTCCCTCTCTCTCACACACATTTTTGTTCTACCAAATTGGGAAATTCTTAAAATAATAAACAATTCATCAGTTTTTATTCTAACAAAGAGAGGCACAAAGTAAAAAAGAAGAAGTAGAACAAACCATTATCTCCCACCCATATAACCCCTGTTGGAATTTTTAAAAGTCATACTCATTTATTCCTAAGGTGTAAAAGTCAAACTCTAGAAAGATACAAAATACAAATTAAAGCCCCTCTGCCCACCCTTGATTCTCTCTTTTCAAATGCAACCACTATTAAAAGTGGGAGATATGTCAGACAGAGAAAGACAAATACTATGTGATATCTCTTATGTGTGGAATCTAATAACATCAACAATAACAACTCAAAAGACCACAGAGTGGCCTGGCATGGCTCAGTAGTTGAGCATCCACCTATGAACCAAGAGGTCACAGTTTGACTCTCTGTCAGGGCACATGCCCAGGTTGCAGGCTTGATCCCCAATGTAGGGCATGAAGGAGGCAGCCAATCAATGATTCTCATCATTGATGTTTCTATTTCTCTCTCCATCTCCCTTCCCCTCTCTGAAATAAATAAAATATTTTTTAAAAGAACAGGAAAAAAGGCCACAGAGTGGAATGGTGGTTACCAGGGGATAAGGGGTGGGAGAACTGGAAAGATGTTGTTTAAAGGTTCCAAACTTGCAACTAGTAGATAAATAAATCCTGGAGCTCTAATATATGGTACAGTGAATATAGACAACAAAACTATTATAAATATTAAATGTACTAAGAGATTAGATCTGAATTGCTCCCACCAGTAGAAGAAATAATTATGTGACACCGACAGAGGTGTTAGCTGACTACAATGTCAACCATATTGCAATATAAATTTGTCAAATCAATAGGTTGTACACCTTAAACTTGCACAATGTTACATGTCATTTAAAATTATATCTCAATTTTTTTTAAAAGCAGGGGAAATCTTTTTATAGCAGGCTGGGGAGATTTATAATTTTCATTTATCACAGTCCAGAGTCCATTCTGCTACAGTCTATAGTCCCTTGGAGGGCTAAGAGGAAAGGACATCCTGCTTCACACAGAAGGTAGGAAATGTCAGCAATTTAAAACCTCAAGAAGTGATTCA